TTAGGGTAGCTGGGCCTACTGGCTCATTTTCTTTTCTTGGTGAATTTGGAGTAACTTCCTATAATACTTGCTCCAACTGCTTTCTAAACATAATGGATTCTTGACCTGGTTAGGTCCCATTGGATGGGGGTTTGGCATAGAAAGGTGGAACAGAGCCTGACTGTGGACTTTTACAATTGACCTAAAGGGAAAACATCAAAGGCAGCTCTACTTAGAAGTGAAATGCCTGAGAGTAACACAATCCCAAAGTAAAGTTCTCCTTACTTGACAGTTGTGGTGGTTTAAACATAAAGGTACTACCTTCTTCCAGAATGGCATATATACTCTGAAGGAAAGCTTACCTGTCAATAGGACCTACCCACTTATACTGAGCTCCCATTCAGGAATAATGCCTTTCATGTAAGTAAGTCTTTATAGCTTCAAAGGAAACCTATACTAGTTGCCTATACTTATTCATGGATTTGAAAGGAAAACCAAGGGTCATCAGATATTTGAGGAAAACAGTATAAAACTAGGCCAGGTTGAAAAACAGAATAGTGGACCCAAAAGAAGCAAAAAATACAAAGAACAGAGAAAAACTTTAAAAAAAAAAATCAAGTTAATATCCTCAAATTTGACTTCTTGCCCCTGCCTAAAAAGGTGGAAGGAAATTCATTTCTACCCTGACAGTAAGAGAAAGCTGGATGGTGTATAAAATCTTAATAACTTTTCTTGAATCTAAAAATTAAGATTAAAGGACAACCAAGTAGCCTGATATATAAAAAAAAGATGGTCATATCCTAGAAGAGACAAGATGTGAGGACTGACTCACCAGTGGCAGAGCATGGAAGGAAGTTGGACCACTGTCTAAGAAGGCAGAAAAATTCAGTCATAATTTTTAACAAATTGTTAACCACTAAGTGTGCTGCTCTAAGACTATATAGCAACTATAGGGCAGTTCATACCTGCTTGCTGTTTGTGTGACCTACACTGGATATTTGTAAGAAAGTAGAGATAGCATAGAAAATGTAGAAAACCTCCCTTGGTGTGGTATAGGTTTGGAGGGAGGGGAGTGGATGATCTTGCTAGAAAGCATAACTCTTCTCTAAGAACAAAAGCATGAAGCCTCTGGAGGAGAGGCCATAAGCCTTGCAGTTCTCAGGGCACAGGTGAAGGATTGGAGAAAGAAAGAAGAAAACATTACCCTTGAGGTAGGGCAGGAACAGTATTGGACCTGGATTATTAGAAACCTCTTATCCCTAGGGGAGGGACAGTATCACTGAGAAAGCCCTATCCTGATACCTAAGGATATAGGTTCTGTTTAAGTCAAACGAGAAAAAAGATAAACTCTATTCTCCTCCCCAGCCAGGCTAGAAAGCATGGAATAATAAGCCACCGTATACTGTACCACTTGAGGAGGGGCAAGAACATAGTGTGTCACTCTTTAGGTGCAGGTTCACAGGGAATACCTAAATCTGGGGGTGGAACAGGTTCACTGAGAAAAAGCCTCCAGCAAATCATCTCCACCACCATCACTACCTCCAAAAAAAAGTTAGAGAAAATTTGAAGAATGTGTTACACTGAAGGTTACAACAAAATGGCAGCAACAAAACCCAAACCCAGCCCAGTTCCTGATTGTATTGACTCAACTCCCAAATTAACAGAAGAGAAATGCTCTTTTCTTTCTCTGTTGTCCTGTGTTCTCCATTGCACATGATGTTGAGTACTCAATCAAAATTTTTGAGACAAGGAAGAGCAAAAATGAAACAAAAAACCATCATTATCCCTCCTCCCACCACTGGCACCAAACTGTTATCAAGGAAGAAATTAACTCAAAAGAAGAAAAAAACTCAGCAATGACTCAGACATTGGGACTATCAGAGAGTTTAAAATAACTATGATTAATGTGCTTCAGGCTTTTGTGGTAAGGTGGATAGCAAGCATGAATAGATGGTAAATTTCAGCTGCAAAATGGAAACTATAAGCAACAGTGTAATGGATGTGCTATAAATAAAGAACAGGGTAACAGAGATGAAGAATGCCTTTGAAGACCCTTCAGGAGATGTGACACAACTAAGAAAAGAATAAGTGAACTTGAATATAGATCAATAGAAATTACTCAAACTGAAGTACAAAGAGACTCTTTTGGACAAGACTAAGATAATTTATTACCCGCAGTCCTATATTTTAAGAAACCTTAAAAGGACTTCTTGGGGCACCTGGGTGGCACAGTCAGTTAAGCTTCTGACTTGGTTTCGGCTCAGGTTGTAATCTCAGAGTCATGAGATTGAACCCCTTGCTGGGCTCCATGCTCAGTGAGGAGTTTGCATGAGATTATCTCTCCTTCCCCTTCTGTCCCTCCCGCTCTCATTCTCTTCTCTCAGTCTCTCTCTCTCTCAAATAAATAAATAAATCTTAAAAAAAAAAAGAAGAAAGTAAAAAATTCTTCAGCAGAAGGAAAATGATACCAGATAGAAACTTGGCTCTACAAACAAAAAATGAGATAACCAGAAATGGTTAAAGATATTATAAGACTTTTTTTCTTATTGTTAATTATTATAAAAGACTACTTTCTAGTACAAAAACAGCAGTGTTTGGGGATTTATAACATACATAAAATGTGTGAGGAATGTGAAAAGTGGGGAAGGAAAGAATTGACAGTGTAGTATTTTCAGTTTTTATAATCTGCATGAAGAAGCATAATAATATTTGAAGTAGGCTTGTTTATTGAAGTTATATACTGTAAACTTTGGGGCAACCACTAAAAATTTAAAATGGAGATATGACGGCCAGTGTTAAAGAAAGAGGGAATCCTAAAAAAATATTTAATCCAAAAGCATAAAAAAAGAGGGATAAAGGAACAAAGAATAGGTGGAATATATAGTAAACAACTAGCAAAATGGTAGATTTTAATTAGACATCAGTTACATTAAGTGTAAGCAGTCTAAATGCCTCAGTTAAAAAACTGAGATTGTTTCAGATTTTGTATTAAAAAAAAAGACCTAACTAAATGCTATCTATAAGAAACCCGCTTATAATATAAAGGTAGATAGATTGATTGATTAAAGGTATAAGAATGGGAATAGTACACCATGCAAATAGTGAATTAAAAGGAGGCCAGAGTGGCTCTATTAATATTAAACAACGTAGATTTCAGAACAATGAATATTTCCCGTGATAAAGACAGATTTTACAGTAGGGTGGAGGGATCAGTCACAAAAAGCCATAATAATTCTAAATATGTATGAACATAACAGAGCTTCAGTATGTATGAATAGTAAAAACTTATAGAACTGACAGAAGAAATAGCCATATCTACATTTATAGCTGGTAGCCACAACACTCCTCTCTCAGTAATTCATAGAACAAGTGAAGACAAAATCAGTAAGGATAGAAGACTTTAATAACACTACTAACTAACTGGACCACCCCACACCAGCAGAATATACTTTTTTTTCATGTGTACATGGAACATTCAGTTAGGCCATAGTTATTATCATAAAGCAAATAATAAAAGAAATAAAATGATATATAATATGGTCACTGACTAAAAGAAATAACATAGAAATCATTAATAGATACCTGGGCAATTTCAGCTATTTGATAATTAATTGTTCAACACACATACATGGGGTGGATGGTGGAGGTTGTCAACTGAATGTCATCTGAAATCATGGAGGGTGAAGATCTGGGGAAGAATTTTATTGGGGCTAAAGAAGATAAGTGGTGTTCCTTGCTTATGTTTGTTTTGGGGGCAAAGTTAATAATATGGATCATTTAAGTACAATTTAGAGAGCAAAGAGGGTACTTAAAAATATGTTGATAAAATTACTTAAGTTGGTGAATTTAGTACTAAGGTCTAAACTGTATTTCAATCAATAATGTGCTTCTTGTTCCTTCCTGCAGGGGATAATTGAAGTCCCCTTATCCTACTGAATCACGGTTTACAAAATTAAACCCCTTTTTACAAAGGGGTTTAAATCAGAGATTAGTGTGTCTGGATCTAAGACTTTTTCTGTGCTTTAGTATTTCTGGTATTATCAGGACTGGATTGTCAAGAGCAGAAGATACTCTTAGAGTAGGAAGATGTAAAAGGATTTTATGATGACATAAATGGAAATGTACGTTCCAAAAGTCGATATAAATACAACAATCAAGTATTTAAACACAAATACGAATCTCTGTGTAGTGCTAAAGCAAACACTTAAAGGAAATTAAATGTTCTGTAATAGGATTGGGGTATGGGGTATCAGTTAAAATGTGGAATATTCATATAATTCACATCCATGGAGTTGAATTTTACACAGCCATTAAACATTATAACTCAGACTATCTGTCAACATGTAAAAATGCTTGTGACATAATATGGAAAACTCAGAATATACATTTCCTACACTCTGTAATTGTAGTTAAAACTACTTATTTTTATGAACTATATTATAGTAGTCAAAATGCAGGTAATTTTTCCTGTTTTACTTTATATACTTTCAGAAATGTTGCATAGCATTTGTAGGTGAAAGAAATTAACCACTTAAAAAAAATAAACTTCATTTTAGGTTCATAGTATAATTGTGCTGACATTGTTAAGATTTCCCATTTATCCCCAACTCCCACACATTCATAGCCTCCCCCATTACCAACATCCCTCACCAGAGAGGTCTGTTTATTACAATTGATGAACCTTTACTGAATAAGCATTAATACCAGAGTCCATAGCCACTGTCTTTTAAAATGAAATTGTCTGAATTTTGAAATCTCACCAGAGGTTTTGGTCAGCAATCCAGAAATCTGGAAGCAGAGACTCTTTACTCTTTGACTCCTGCTAGAGGCTGGACTTGTGACAAATTGAACAAGTTGGGAGGCTTCTTCTAGTTAACCCTCCAGAATACTTCTATGTCTAGCTTTGTCTCTGAACTCTTTTCTCTCATGGTCAGGGGACAGGCTCTGCCTTTTTGGTTGTGATTGAGCAGTCCTATCTGCAGTGTTATGTCTAGAATTGTCTCCTCCATCTCTCTCTCTAGGAAGTGCATTTTCAACTGAACACCTCAAGCTCCAACTCCAGAAGGAATCCCTGAATGAATTGAGGAAGGAGTGTACTGCGAAAAGGTAAATGCAACACTGAGAATAATGGATAAGAGTGTTGGGTTTGAGGATAGGATTTGGAAAAGTAGCAGTCTATAAACGTTGCTGGTATTACTTTATTCCACACACATCAGTGCCACATTCATTTATTCAACAAATATTTATGAAACACCTACTCAGTGTCACACACATGCTAGAAGTAGTTATGAGAGAATCAGAAACTCGAACATTGTTCTTCTCATTCTTAAGGCCATGGAACCATGACTTAATGTTTGAATCCTCTCGTCTTCTACATGTAGTGTAGCTTATTTTCTTCAGTCATTTCTTCAGATTTACTCCTGTTTCGTGGTAGTCCATTAGGATTACTGCCACAGCTCCTAACTTGTCTAACATTAGTCTCTCTGTCTCTCCAGTTCATCCTCCATGTGGCTTATCCTCTGTAAATACTAGTTTTACCATATTTTTTCTCCTCTTGAAAAGTCATAGTGATTGTTTTGCTTAACTTCAAATAACCCTCAATAAATCAGTGCAATACAACTGTAGCTAACTTTAGTCCTCTACAACATTCATTTAACAGATGCTAATAGTTTTTATCTTTATTTTTTTTCCAGTACATGCTTAATTTGATGCTGCCTCTGTTCTTTTGCTCATGTTGACCCACTTTTCCTGGAAAGTCTTCTCATCCTACATTTTTCTTCATGAAACCTTAGCATTTGAGCATTCAAGAATGTTAGCCCTAGCAAGAACCATGGAGATCATCTTGTCTCATCTTCTCAATTTGCAGATAGGAAGGCAGGGCTCTGGGAAGTTACTTTGTCCAGATCACAAGGAAATAGGATTAGATCCCTTTTAAGTCTTTAGTACTCTTGTGTTATACTACTGGTTTACCTTCCACTTTGACCTACAGTTTTTCTGAATTCTTCTTTTTCTTAAATAGTTAACACAGTTGAGCAGGTAACTTATCCTATAGTTATTTTATCTCTTGGTCTTATTTCTTTAGTTCAAGACAAGAGCTATATCATCTCTTGCCACAACTTATTGTTTGTTTTTATTCTATTATTTTCCTAATATGGCAGCAGGCTATTTTTTGAGGTAGCTGTGAGTGAAAAAGAGAATATTTCTTTAAAATAATGACATAGGGATATTTCCTGAAATCAAATTGGGCTCAGATTAAATGAGACCTTAGTCTGCTTACCGAGCATCTCTAAATTCTGTACCCTTGTTTGTAAAATGGGTATAATGATACCAACCCAATAGAGTTATAATAAATAAAGCCATTTGTGAAGCTCCTGGCCTATAGTGGTAGGTGCTCAATGATTATTTGTATCCTTTACATCTCTTAGCGTGGTACTAGACACACACAATAGGCCTCAGTATATATTTATCTTGATTTATAATATTTGGAGATAAGTCAAGACTCATATTAGCTATAATTTTTTATTCTACTTCTGAGTAGAATACTACTACTGCAGGCCATTTAATCTTCCTCTATATTAGTTATGTGGAAATAAATGTTAGAAAGCATGAAAACTTTTTTTTAACAAATATGCTTTTTATCTTTCCTCATCAGAGAGCTCTTTCTGAAGACTAATGCTCAGTTGACAATTCGTTGCAGGCAATTACTATCTGAGCTTTCCTACATTTACCCTATTGATTTGGTAAGTTTCAAATTTTCTGGGAAAAAAATTTTTTTCTTAAAAGATGGTTTCTGTTTGAAATTTCTTCTCAATGAAAAAACTCATTGCTCTAGTCTTAATTGTATGTTCTGTCATGATTCATTCAGAAGCTAACATCTATTTAAAAAGTAGATTTAGACTTAGTGGGTGTTAGGGTCCACCCATTTGATTTTTTTTTTTTTAATATCCATTTGATGGTGGAATGCACTCAACTTCATCTGAAAGAATTCCAAATAATTTTTGGTGTCTTTAGGATCTTTTTTACTCAGCAAAATTATCAACTACCATCATTTCTGACACATACATGTAGATGCATGTGTACTGCTTTAAAAATATAACTACCAATTAATTTGTATTTATTATACTACTTAATAAATTCCTGGGGTAACTTTCAGGATGTGAAGTTTTTTAATTTAGTTTCTTAGAGTAATTGTAAAAAGTAAAACTTGAATAAAATTAGCTTGATGAGAATTATTTTTTTTAAAGAGAGCCAAATCACTAAATGAAAAGAGATTGAAATGACTAATTTTCTGAGAGGAAAGCTAATATGATTTTAGGTTGCTCACAGAATCTTGTTAATTCCACTTAAAATCTTCATTTATATCTATGAATTGGTCAAGAGATATTTTTGTAATAAAAATTTTACATGGCTTTTTGCTTGGACATGATATTTTAAATATTTATATATGAATATACAGATAGTAGTATAATGAATCATTATATACTCATCACTGAGCTTAAACAATTATGATAATATTTTGAGTGTAGGACAGTATTATCTTTGAGTTAACACTGACCTACCAAATTCTTTGAGATTTGACCTAGGGTTTTTTTGTTTTATACAGAAGAAGAATTAATTTCATTCTTTGGTTACATTTACAGAATGAGCATAAGGATTACTTTGTATGTGGTGTCAAGTTGCCCAATTCTGAGGACTTCCAAGGTATTTTATTTCTTTTTACATCTAAAGATTTGGTGTAGGTAATAAATGGGTATGTTGCAAAGAAAAATAGAGATAACTTGAAGTGTTGGTTGCCTAACACTTTATCCAGAGAGTTTTTGGACTTTTTGTTCCTTCCCAACTGAAAGTACATAAAGTCAGATTTTCTGATGGAAGACATAAGAGACTATTTAGTTCTAATTGTGGGAAAAAAATATTGAGTTTATAGTTTTTTAAGTGAGCTTTAAGAAAATCAGGCAGTAGGTATTTTAAGAATACAATAATCTCCTTATCCTTTTAATTTGATTTTTATGAAGAATTTGGATGTGGTTGGAAGCCAAAGAACAAGAAACATTAATCTGTTCTATTGTTATTTAGAAAATCATATTTCTGGTAACATGAAACCACTACCACAGGTTCAGCCTTTGTTATACTGTCATTTCTGTCCTCTTTCAAATAAGAAAAGTTACATTAAAGATATTATAGACTGTGATTCTTATTAATGGCTGTATTTTAAAGGATTAATATTTGCCTAATCTCTTTACCAGTAGGCCAAAGAAAAAAACGTATTTATTTGATATATTGGTAAAGATTTTTTTGGTATTGTTTGCAAAGTGGGTTCTTTTCCTTTAGCCTATACAATGCTTTGAGGCCTATTAAATAGCTTTATAGATTATTCCCAAAGGTGGTGTATTATCTATTTGGGAAGAAGTTATTAAAAAAGAGGGCATTACTAGTTTTGTTTCAGACCTCTTTCCATTTCCCAATAAAGAAAATGTTGTTATTTATCATCCTTTAACATTTAAGACTAATTTATTAACTCCTTTGGCCTTTATAACAGCCCTTATAACAAGTAATTGCAACATAATATGAGTGATAAAACAGGAATGGGAAAGCCTATGTTAAAGTCCTGATTCCCTTTCTAGAAACCATGTAGTTTGGAGCAAGCCATCCATGCTTTGAGTTTATTTCCTAATTGATAATATGCCTATTGATTCATGTCCTTACCTGTTCTACATTATTGTTGTGAAGATTAGATCTGTAAAAGCACGACATTTGCCGTATCTTTAATCCTCACAAAAACAAAGGAAACCTACAAGGAAAGTAGTTTAATTTCCTAACATGTAAATGAGCTATTTAATAACTTGCTCAAGACCTCAAAGCTTAGGTAATGATCTAGCTGGAATTTGTTTGATTTCCATTGTAAAATGTTTCAATCTCTGTAAGTCATACAAATGTGCTTTGGTGTTAATTTTAGGCAAAGTTACGATGTCCTGAAGGCCATTAGCACATCCTTTCCCTCATTTGTTCATTCATTCAACAAACCTATTGAGTACCTTGAGCCCTTGCCAGGTTCCAGGGATACAAAACATTCATTCACTGGTAAAATATTAATTGAGCACACTGACATGCCAGGCATTGTACTAGGTTTTGAGAATATAATGATAGAAAAAACAAGTATGTCCTTTCATGGAGCATACATCCTATTGAGGGAAACACCCAGTAAATAATAAGTATTTAACAAGTATTTCATAAAGGAACATGCTTTCATAGACAATAGGGGAACCTACTTTAGATAAAGCAGTCAGAGACCTCTCTGGAAAAATATTTAATAGAAAATTTGAAGGCTGAAAGAGTCCAACTCTGCTCCATCTGGGAGAAGAGCTTTCCTAGAAGAGGGGGCGGGCAAGTACAAAGTCCATGATGGAGGAATAGGCTTGATACATCTGAAAAAATTTCAGGAAGGGGAAGTATGGGAGAAAAGACCTGTATTTCGGCAAATCATGTAATCTCTCAGCTTGATTTCTTCACTTGTAAAATGAGGTAATATCTACATCTCTATTGTTATGACTGCATGAGATCATATTTGAAAAAGCTTTTCATAGAATATATTTATATAAATGTAATTGAAATTCATTGCAAGAGAAAGGAGGTTAAGGAAGAAAAAAGTAGGAGAGAAAGAAGGAAGGACAGAAAAGACCAGACCTATATGACTGGAGGCTAGTGAACAGGGGAAAGAGTTACATCAGAGGACATAGGAGAGGTCTGCCAGGGAAGTTACTGTAAGGACTTTATGTTTTATTCTCAGTAGGGGGCGAAGACCCTGAAGGGATTCAAGAAGGGAGATGACATGAGTTGATTTATGTTTTTAAAAGTCACTCTGCTTCCTAAATACAGATTGATCTGCAGGGAGGCAGTAAGGGATGTAGGGGTATCAGTATTGGTGATGGTCATCTTACTCCACTCTGGGATGTTTCTTGATTCTATTTTTGTTTTATATGAAGTGTTTTGTTTGCTAGTTTTTCATAGCTTTTGTTAGCTCTCTATCTTAGTATGTCCACCAAACTGAATATATTTTTCCTATCCTTTAAAAGATTAGTTTAGCGCTTTAGTTCAGTTGGTGAAAAATGAAATGGGAAGTAAAATAAAACAAATGTATAATTTTACTCTAAGGCCCTATTCACTCCCTATGATGTCTAGCAATCAGAAATTTTAAGAAGCACATGTGGTATGTTAGACTTTAAAATCATATGTTAGCATTCTGCAAGTTACTTTGGTATACTCAATTCACTAAGAGCCTTCCTTGTATGTATCACTTGCTGGGCCAGGTGCTGAGAGTATGCACATTGAGATGAGTTAGGACATTGATCCTACCTCAGTGAACTTTCAGTCTAGGTGAGGCCATTAAACTTGTAATCAAAGCGATCAAGACATATTTATTGATTTCATACTCTGTATCAGGCACTTTGAAGTTTATACCAGGGACACAGCATTCAAAGAAGTGGAAATAATCAGTGCCATCAGAAGGGGAGCAGGAAAACCTTCACAGAGAAGATGGTGCCTGAGGTATCTTAAAAGATGAAATAGTATTTCTCTGTTGAAAGAAGGGTAGAAGGACATTTTAGATTGGGCGAGTAGAGAAATATGGGAACATGGGACATCATGCATGGTGTTTCTTGTTTATTTAATTCTCACAGTTGTGAGAATTAATTCCTTCTGTGAGAGAAAGAATCCTACTAAATTTTCTTAAGGACAAGAAAATTGAGGCTCAGAGAGATTAGTTAATTTTTCCAAAGACTCATACTAGCCAGTGGCAGAGCTAAAGTCATTTCTGGTCAGCCTGATTTTAAGGTCCATGTTATTCCTGTCATGATGCAGTTTTTGTCCTTGTTTTGAATAAACCTTTTCCAAACTTCTGACAACTTTTAGTGGTCTGTAACAGCTGCATTCTTGGTTCTTCTCTAGTAAGGAACTCCAAACTGGTTATTCTCTGATATTCACGAGACTTTGCTGGGACAGACTTTCCATTGCTTGGGTTGACACTGTCTGGGAAACTCTACCGTAGTGACCCAACCTTTATTGTGCTTTTTTAAATGGGTAAGTTACTGGTAGAGTATGCCAAAGAGACCTGGACATGATGGGAGAAAGTTGTCTGCTGAAGGGTGTTCATTTGAGTTCCATTGACTGAGACATTTCTCGTAAAAAAAATTGTTTGTGTGTGTTTTTAAGTAATCCATAACACGAGAGCCTTTTGTGGTAATGAGACCCAGATTTCCTTCTGTGTCTGTATCCCTTTATGCAGGCATGATTTCTTGGAAAGGAGAGACCATATGTCAAACAGTGTCTCATTGAGAACATGGAATGATTCCATAGATGCTGTGGCAGTGATTAGAGTCTTAAATATTTTGTCCTGTCTGGATCAGTGGGTGCTTGGTTCCTTAACAAATCAGCTGCCTCAGTGATTGGGAAGGCAGGATGGTAAGAGCCTTTAGATCACTTATTATACTTGGATGCATTTGAATATTAATAGTTTGTCCAACACAGAAGTCGAAGGAGCATTTAATTTGTAATATTGTTATGGCCATTGTGGGTTGATGATATTTATTATCACAAAAATTACACAAAAGCTGCTTCTCTGAATAACTATCTACATTTAAAAAACAAGGAGTAATTATAAGGAGGAAATTGCAGATTTTTGTTTTGTTTTTAAGCCCCTGAAAACATTGTTTAAATTAGGATCTTTTTCACACACCTGAGTCTTATAGTTTATTCCTGTTCCTCCCTGAATCCTTCCACACCCCCACCCCAACTTCTTCTCACCAACAAACATATCATCTGTAACCTTTCTAACCCCCAGAGCAGCATAAGGAACACAAACCTCTGCTCTGCATTAGGTGTTAGGGACGTCATTAATGCTTACTGGAAAAGTACACCCCAGAGAGCCAGGTTTTGGCTTTGGCAGGTAAAAAGTCTTTTAGATCTTGGAATGCTGGAAACCTTAAACCTTTTGGTTTTTTTAGCTAAAGTGATTGGCAACAGAAAGTGACATCTGAGGTTCGTGGCCAGCAATAGCCATAATTAACCACATGAGCTCACATTTTCCCACTGGAGGTTCAGTGGTCTTGGGGTGATGAAAGTGACTTCCCTACCAGGAGGTGGTTTTCCTTTTGAGGGTATTGGAATACCCTTGGGCCCTGTAATGCCTCACCCGTGGTCCTTTTAAAATGCTTTTTAATATAAAGCTTCAATATTGGAAATCCAACACCATGATGTTTAACAGTGAGGCTGTGCCTGAGCACTGTGGCCTGGAATGGGAAACAACCTAGGGTTTTTAATAGGTGGAGCAGGGAGTCTTATGGTGGAAACAATGGTGAGTGCAAATAACCAGAATCAAAGTTGATTTCCAGTATTATCCAGTTTCCAGGTTTTGCTGTTTCTGCTTTAATTTTAATTTCCATGTGTCGGCTTCTCTTAGAGATGCCTTTTTATCTTAAATTTAAACAAAATTGTTTTGGTCGTTGAAGAAAGGTGCTGTTAGGAGACTAGTTTTTGTTTTTCTTAAATTTGCAAATGCAATTCCTTAGTATTAATCTTTTAGAAATATGGAAAAATGTAGATACTTGTGTGTTTAGCGTTGGCTAGGTTTTTTTTTTAAAGCATTCATAGTTTGTGTTTGACCTGTTTGGAAGGCTAATTAAGAAGCCTTCTACTGCTTTCTAGAAGTTTGCAAATTCTTTGCTGTCTGGCCACGTAGGAAAGGAAAAGCTTAGTGGAAAGCACATATAGGAAAGTCCAAAAAGTGTTGCATTATCCTTCATTACTGTAAATTGTCTTCTTCCTCTCCTCCTCTCCCTTCATAAGAAGATTCTTAAAGACCAACTCCTTTATACTGATAGGAATATTTCAAATTCGATAAGCCCTATCCTTTACGGAAAGCAGGAGATGCAGGATTTAGTGGCCTCTGAGGGAACTCACTGTCCCAGCTCTGACTCCAGGAATAGATATTTGGGCAGTGAGGGTGTATATACAATTCTACCTTTTACTCCATCTCTCATGGATTTTACCTATATGGCTCTGAGCTAATTACTTACACCACCTGAATCTTATTTTTCTCATCTCTAAATTGATAGCATCAGACTCTGTGACTTCTAAGGTTTCTCCTAGCTCTAATATTGTATGACGATTTAATTATAATGTGATGAATATACAGTGTAGTATAATGTAATTTTAGTCTCTAAGGTGGTGTGATACACAGACCTCAAAAGAAGTCAAGTGTTGTAGTCCTCAAGGTACTTGGCTGGGACTGGGGCAAGGGGGCATGGTCTCTAAGAACAATTAGGATTCTAGTTAGGGCATGATTGAGTAGTCAGTTGAAATGAATACTATTCCTTCCCCCCCCCCTTTTTAAAAATCAGTTTGGTTTGAGAGAGCATCAAACATTAGTTGAGAAGCCCATTCTTATTCAAGTGTAGTACAAGCCACCAGGAACTCTGTGTTCTTTGCTCTTACAAAAAAAAGTGTGAAGAAACTGAGGTGGTACATGTGTGTCATATGCTTGGTACATTCTAGGTTCCTGGCTTAAGAAATTGTTGTGTGCTCCACAGTAAACTTCTGAGACAGTATGATAGAGTGCTTAAGGACAGAGGCATTGAGACGGCCAATCTGTATTGTATTACTATATTACTTGAGGCAGATTGCTTAACTTCTTTGACCATCAGTTTCTTCATCTACGAAATAAGTGAAATAGCATATAAAAAGGTGCCCAGTTTAGTAATTGTTGATGAATTAATGACTGTCAAAAATAAAGTACTGTAGTCAGTTCCTGGCAAAAGAGAAGTATACAATGAAAGTTACCTATTTTTATAGTATAGTCAAAGAGAAACCAAAAATCTACCATGGTTGTCAGTGGTGGAAAATGAACTGATGATAGATGACTCTAGGGGCATTCATACAACAAGACGGCAGTACTTAGATAACTAAGTATAAGTATAAAAAATGTAAAAAACATTACTAATGATTGAAGTTAAGGTACCCTTAGAAATCAGGAAACACTCAAGCCAAGGATATCTCTCAATCATTTCAGCTTTTCTCTAGCCAAAGATAGTCTAGATTATGAGTTAAAATCTTTCAGTGTGTCTGTATGTGAACTTTTAAAAGTATTTTGGGAATACTATATACCAAACATTTACTTTTCTCTTCCTCCTGGGGCAGGCTTAAAACGTTTTGTTGTATTACTCTGTTCTAAGTACCTGATGATTATTATCACTTGGTAGGTAGTAGTAGCAGAAATGTAGATGTGAGTTAAAAATATAATTCTCTGTGACTTCTTAAAAGATAGATGCTTATGTTTGACTGTAGGGGACATACATTTTTCCCCAGCAGTTACTTCCACCTAAATTGCATAAATAATATATATAAACTGTGGTTTTTGACATTTTACTATTTAAAATATTTTTCCCCTCTATCCTATTTCAAATTTCACAGTCTTATTTATGCACTACTATCTTTATGGATATTGAGAAGGTACCCCATCAGGATGCACTGTGCTTTTTCACTTCACCGTAAACTTAATTTGTACAATAGTACAACTATATTGCTTATAAAGTTGTTAATAAAATATATGATGCTCATATAGTGCATTATGATAAACCTCTGTAACTAATTTTCACATCATATGATAGACTAGATATTAACTCTGCCTTGAAAAAAAGTGCTGAGAAAGAAAGTAATGGATATTTAAGTATATTAAGAACTCTTTCTTAAAATATATAAATGAAGTGTTAACCTCAGAACAGTAATCATTGAGCAATAGTTTTAAATATAGTAGATGAAATCTCAAGTCTTGTTAATATATTTAGATTTGTATAAAATTCATGTAATTTAAATGTGATTAATATTTTACCAGTTATTCTAAAATCTCTTAAAATTGATTTATTATGTTCTTATAGCTACATTTATAAGGTAAATAATTATTTTCTTTTTCTCTGCTTTTGAATTTACAGCAAAAGATGATGGAAGCATTGCTGTTGCCCTTGGTTACACTGCACATTTAGTCTCCATGATTTCCTTTTTCCTGCAAGTACCCCTAAGATATCCTATAATTCATAAGGGATCTAGATCAACAATCAAAGATAATATCAATGATAAGCTGACTGAAAAGGAGAGAGAGTAAGTATCTTTTTTATATACTTTTGACATAAGCCAGTTTGAGACATGGAGTATATTAAAAAATACAAAATGTGACCTAGATTGTGGTGATTTTTTGTATGTCCCTTGTAAAGTGCTCCATTTCTTTTAAAGAGAATGTGGTTATTCATTAAGATTATAATAAATCAAATCCTACACTTCTTAAAATTACTGATAGCAAGATTGACTCAGTTAAGTTTAATTTGCTTTTGTGACAAATAAGTATTATGTACTCAGCAGATAATTCATGTAGTACCTCTTGCCTGCCAGTCAACAAGTGAAATAATTTAAAGATTTGTCAGACAAGTAAGAAAAGCAGGTTGTACATGTCTGAAAAGTAAATTAGTGAACTGGAAGATAGGTCAGTAGAAAATATATTGACCAAAGCACAAAGAACAAAAAAGATGGATTATATAGAAAAGTGCTAAGCTTATGTAGTTCCCAAAAAAAAGGTCTAAGGTATGATATGTATAGTTGGGATTACAGAGAGGGAGAAGAAAGTACATAGGGTAAATGCAATATTTTAAGAAATGACAGAATATTTCAAATTTGATGAAACACCTCAAGCTACAAATTCTAGAAGCATTAAATACCACCCATAATAAGTACAAAGCAAACATATTTAGGGAAATTATAGTAAAATAGCTGAAAACCAAAAACAAAGTGAAAATATTAAAAGTACCTAGAAAAAAAAAAGATTAGCATCAAAAGAGCAGTAATTAGACTGAAAGCTAATTTCTCTATAGAATCTGTAGGAACTATAAAGGTGATACAACATTTTAAAAAGACTGTAAAACAGAGGGGCCTGGATGGCACATCAAACTATTGGTTTCAACTCAGATCATGATCTCAGGGACATGAGATCGAGCCCAGCATCAGGCTCTATTCTCAATGTGGAGTCTGCTTGTGTTTCTCTCTCCCTTTCCCTTCCATTTCCCACCGCGCCCCCCCTTCAAATAAATAAATCTTTTAAAAAAAGTACTGTAAAAAAGTACTGCCAACTTAGAATTCTATACTCAATGAATATATCCTTCAAATTAAAGGCAAAATAAAAGTCATTTCAGACCATAAAACTGAAAAAATGCATCCCTGCAGACAGGATGCATTACTAAGAGAAATACTAAAGGCAGAATAGCCTTTAGCACAGAAACTTGGAAATATTTGCAAGAAAGATAAAAGACAATAGAAAGGGTAAGTATAAGTACATCTAAATTAATTTTGACTACAAAACAAATGGTAGTGTCAAAAAATATGAAATACACATAAATAAAATTTATGTGGTTATAATGCATGACTAACACAAAAGTTGGGAAGTGGAAGTGGAGTTAAAACATTCCAAGATCCTAGCATTGTCTGGAGAAGGGTAAAGATATTGCTTTATAGTAGAATACTAAATCAAGGATGCATGTCTAATCTCATAACCACTAAAAGAATTATTGGGTACAAGCAAAAAATTAGAGGATATAAATAGAAAAAAAAATTTAAATACTTGAATTCAAAACAAGAAAAGAAAGGAAAATGAACATTAAACAAGTGCAACGAACAGAAGATAAATAGTAACTTTGTACTTAGGAACTGAAACTTATTCTGCAGTTACATTAAATGTAAATGTTTTAGTGTACTATGTAAAAATAAAGATTGTCAGGCTGAATAAAAAAACTACACTTGCGAGATATACATCAAATATAATGACATAGAAATATTGAAAAAGTAAGAGTGAATAAAGATGTATTATGCAAATATCCATATGAGAGCTAAGATAACTACAAAATGAAGTTTGAGGCATTTTAAATAAGTGGAGTATTTTATGTTAATACTGTCAATTATACACACACACACATATGCACACACATACACCTAAAAGCATGACTTCAAACATATAGACAAAAATTTACAGAATTACAAGGAAATCCACAATCATAGCAGAGGACCTTAAATTTTTTTTATTATTAGAAAAAGCAGATAACAATCAGAATCTAAAAGACTTGCACAGTGCAATGAACTAGACCTGAGTTAATGGGTAAAGAATATTGCACCAACGTCTATAGAGTATACATTCTTTTCAGGTATACATGAGACATTTACCAAAATTTGATTATGCTGAGCCTCAACAAAATTTAAGAGATTAAAATAATTTATATTATGTTTGCTGACCACAGTGGAATTTATGAGAGATAAATAATAAAATCCCCAAATGTTTTGGTATTAATCAGTGTTCTTCTATAAAACCTATAGGTCAACAAAGCTATAAAGGAAGTTTGAAATTATTTTGCACTAAATGATAGAATATAACATATGAAAGCTTGTAAGGTGCAACTAAATCTGTGCCAAGAGGAAAATTTATTTCCTTCAATGGTGTATTAGAAAAAAAAAGATTTATAAATCAGTCATCTTAAGTCTCCTTTTGAAATTCCCAGAGAAAGTAGAGTTCATTAAATCCTAAGAAAGTATAAGGAAGGAAAGAATAAAGGTAAGAGCAGAAATTAGATGGACAATTGAACAATGGAAAAAAAAATATAGGCAAAAGTTCTAACCTTTGATACAACTGGAAAATGGAAAAGCCCTTAGCAGGACTAATTTAGAAAGAGGAGACAGGCAAAACAACTAGTAAAAGTAAAGGGAAAAAAAGATGTCACTACAGAGATAGACATTAAAAGATAAGATCTTAGAAACACTATTAAGCTTATCAATTTGAAATTCAAGTACAATTGGCTACATTTCTAGAAAAACACAACTTTCCAAAACTGATATATGAATGATGGAGTTTAGAAAACACTGCACTAGGCTAAGGGGAAGTGGATATAGATGATTCTAGGTCAGTTATTCTCACCACTGGCTGCACATTATTGTCATATAGGGAGGCTTTAAAAATGAGCTCCTGACCCCCAGATCCCTGGCTTCTTCCCCAGAAATTGATTCAGTTAACGGGGCCCAGGCATGAAATTGTTTTTTTAAAGCTCCTGAAGTGATTTTAATGTGCAGTCAGGGTTAAGAACCGCTATTCCAGATTGAGAGACTGTTGTGTTTATGGGAATGAAGAAATGAAATATCCTCTACTATATTTAGGAAAAACTGCAAGAGGAGAGGCAGAAAAGGTAGGTACCAAATGGAAGAATTTGGTCTTGTATCTGGTAGGACAGTGACCCTCAGCTTGTAAATAGAAGGCAGGAAGCACATATTAAATCAGTGCCTTTTAAAAGCATTGATTAATTGATAGCCAAAGTATCATTCTCAATTTCAGAAAACTTTAAAGAGATCCTGAAATGCATATGTTTGACGAGAGGGGACATTGGTGTGGTTTCTTTTCTCTTTTTAAAGAATTGAGGTGAAATTCACATAAGATTATCTTTTTTGATATGTAAAATTAAGTGACATTTAGTTAATGGGTAAAGAATATTGCACCACTGCCTCTGTCTAGTTCCAAAACACTTCATGACCCCAAAAGAAAACCCTGTACTCATTAGGTAGTCACTCCTTATTCTTACCCCACCCAGTGCCCCCTCCCCTGGCAATGACCCATCTGATTCTCCATATAAATCGAATCATATAATATGTGACTTTTTGTTTAAGATTTATTTCATTTAGCCTGTTTTCAGGGGCATCCATGTTGAAGCATAATCAGTATTTTATTCACTTTTATGGCTGAAGAATATTCCATTGAATATATGTACCAATGTTTTTTCATCCATTCATCTGTTGATGGACATTTGGGTTATTTCCACCTTTGGCAGTTGTGAATAGTGCTGCTATGAGCATTCATATATATAAGTATTTGAGTATCTATTTTAAGTTCTCTTGAAGTAGAATCCTTGGGTCATATAGTAATTATATGTTTAATTCTTTGAGGAACCACCAAATTACTTTCTACAGCAGCTATACCAATTTACATTCCCTGATGTGAAGTGGTATATCACTGTGATTTTCATTTGTAGTTCCTTAATGACTAATGATGTTGAGCATCTTTTCGTGTCCTTGCTGCCATTTTTTTTTTTTTTTGCTGCCATTTTTTTATCCTCTTTGGAGAAATGTCTGTTCAAGTTCTCTGCCTGTTTTTTAATTGGATCATTTATATATTTTATTGGTGAGCAGTAGGACTTCTTTATTCTGGATACTAGATCCTCATCTGGTATATCATTTGTAAATGTTTTCTTCCCATTCTCTGGGTGGTCTTTATAGTTTAAGCCCTAAAACGATGGTATGTCTTATGTGCTGTCTTGATGCCTGGTGAAACCCAGAAGGCCTAGAATATCTCCCTACGCTGCTCCTGTGGATAAAGTCCCTTATCTAAATAGTACTCCTTATCCAGGGACCTAGGTATAGTTTCTTCTTATTCCTGAGTAATGAATTTCAGTTCCTTGCCAGCTGGGAAATTGTGGAAAGAAACCAATCACATCTTCCCTCAAGAACCAGTCAACACTGCATCCTTTTAATATAACAGAGTCTGTCTCCCACAGGCCCTGGCTGTTCACTATCATCCTTTTTGTAACTCCCATGTAACCCTGCATGGCATGTAGTGTCCTCCTCCCCTGGGCTGAGTATATGTGATTAATAAGTTGTTCTCCTTCTCATCTGTCATTCATTGATTTTCTCTACTGCTTTTTTATTCTCTATTTTATCTCTAATCTTTATTATTTGCCTTATTCTGCTAGCTTTGGGTATTGCTTTCTGTTTCTTTAGATGTAAAGGTAGATTATTATAAAGATCTTTCTTCTTTTAAATTTATTTATTTATTTATTTATTTATTTATTTATTTATTTGAGAAAGTGTGTGAGCTGGGGGAGGGGGAAGGGGAGGGAGAGGGATGAGAAGTCTCTGCCAAGCACTAAGCCTGACATGGGGCTTAATCCCATGATCCCATCCACTGAACCCTGAGATCATGACGTGAGCAGAAACCAAGAGTTGGGTGCTCAACTGACTGAGCCACCCAGGTGCCCCAAGATCTTTCTTTTTTTAATATCAGTATTTAAATCTATAAATTTCTA